CACATACACACACATACAAGCACACACACACACAAACACACTCTCTCACACACACACACACAAACAAACACACACACACACACACACACACACACACGCGCGCGCGCGCGCACTTGATAGGGTAGCCCATACGCCGTAAACATTCTTAAGACCTTGGGCATCACATGCATGTTTTCTGTCCTTTTCTTCGTTTGTGTGGTGCTTGGAGGGCGCTACTAATTGGTCCTACTTCTTTCAATGAGGAAGATGATGATGATGATGACGTGTTTTTCTTAAACATCTTACTCAAACAAACAAACAAACAATCGCTGCAACCATGCGATAGGCGATACACAATAATTTTAAACGAGAGAAAAACGTTTCCTTCTCCCCTTGGCACCGCAAAGTAACAGATGTATGTCAGCAAAAGTAAAGTAAACAAACAAAGTAATAAACAAAGAAACAAATGAATAGACAAACAAATGAATAGACAAACAAATGAATAGACAAACAAACGAATAAACAAACAAGCAAACAAATACATGTAGATCTATAAATTAAAAATGAACAAACAAACAAACAATCATTTTAATTAACAAAACAAACACCAAATGAAATATTATGAACAAACTTAATGAACAAAACAAAGAGAAATCCGCGGAGTAGCATTCAACTCACCCTGCTGTGCCCGCACGGGCTGCATCTGCTGAGCAGGCTGCTTGGACAGTGCCGACTTGGGCGGCTCAGAGGAGCCCAGCTGGGCCTCCAGGATTTTGTACGTTTTGGGTGTGACGTTCCTGAACTTTGACCCTTCGTTCATGTGGGGGTCGATGCTGCCTTCGTCGAGCTCCACCCGCTTGCTGGCGCTCTGGCCTCCACCGAAGGCGGCCCGAATGGCAGGGTCCTGAGTGTTCACTACCCCTCTGGGGGATTGAAAAAATAAATGTGATTTATTGTAGATGTATGTTTTATGCCCCTATCGACGACTTTAACCATCATCATCATCATCGTCATCATCATCATCATCATCATCATCATCATCATCATCATCATCCTCATCATCATCATCATCATCATCATCATCATCATCATCATCATCATCATCATTGTATAAAGAAGGTATTATAACAGTTAAGACCTTGTTGTATTTCCAGAAAATATGTATTATACACAGTTCGTTCGACGTTTCGCTTGGTAAAGGGCTTCTTCAGGA